TGAGATTGATAGTGCACAACATGTTGTCTTGCAATATCAAAGGAGTGGTTAACAAGTTTCCTCTACGTATTGTGGCAGAGAAAGTGATTAATAAAGAAGTTGATTTCAATCCTGATTTTCTCAAACACATGTTCGGGAAGATCGAGTGGAAAGCTTTGGTCGATGGTGCACGTTCTATGGGATACACCGAACTTCCTGATCACGCACCAGACACGAAGCTGCTCGAATCCGACGACGAATCATTTCTCATACAATTCCACCATGCTTTGCTCGAGCTACACCTTGAAGAAGGCTCACTCGTTTGTCCCGAAACCGGAAGAAAAATTTCAGTCAACAAAGGAATCCCCAATTTGCTTCTTCACGAGGACGAAGTTTAAATTATGTAATCTTTTGTTCTTCAATTTTAAGGAATAAAGAAGAAAAATCTATCATTGATTCCTCTTGCATTGTGTTAATGGATGATTCTTTAATCATTCTACTTTAAGCACTATCTTCATACACTCGTAGACAAAGTAACTTATTGCAGCAGAAGGCAATACCTGGAGATATGAAAACAGAGGAACAGTAACATATCAAGCTAAGGCAATGAGTACGGTAAAATATGAAAACAGAGGAACAGTAACATATCAAGCTAAGGCAATGAGTACGGTAATGTGGTAATAAGGAAGAATTATAATGCAAACCTGAAGCAAGCTAGGTAAAAGTCCTGCGTATAAAGCCGGGATCCCTCCTCTCTCAATGATACTGAATCCCATAGCTAAAGCATTCAGCTTGTCTTTACCCGCCTGCATCTGAAGTTGTCGTCTTACTACTTCGAAAGGATATGTAGCTACTTCAGTACAAGCACCTGCTATAGCACCGTATAGGAGAGTTCTGATGGGTCCTAACTCGAGCCGGTCAAGAGCATTGAGTTCTTGTCCTTGCTGCTTCATGTCTTTGAGTCTTTTCCGGCCTTCTGGTGTATGCAGATAGGATGATTTAAGGATGTCGTACATGCCATAAAAAACTGCACCGGATAGAGCCATGCTTGCTATTGACGGGACTAGACCCTTGTAGAGTGATAACAATCCTTCGGTTTGAATCATATACTTGAAAGCTCCTCCGATCCCGCCCAAAGCTTCTCCACCCCGAGCCACTAGTTTGGTTCGTATCTACGCAGTAAACGATTACATTTCAGTCAAAATGGTTCCACATGTTCTTATCATCCTGTCGAAAACTAATTGCTTACTAACGCTACACTTATATGTCACTCTAAAGCACAGAACTTTCTCATCTTTGAGCTAAAAGGGTTTTTAAGAGTAAGGGCTTACAGTGTCGAGTGGCAAGCAGAGTACAGTAGCGGTAATCCCAGCAGCAGCTCCAGCAACAAATCGTTCAAAGTTGGTTGCTTCTTCGTTCCCAGCGATTCTAAGCAATTGCTTTCTGTACGTATCGTAGGCACAAAAATTGACAGCTTTGAAAGGAGCCGTTCGGAGAACATTGAGCAAATTACCTTTCCAAAATCCTTTAAAGCCTTGAGTGGTCGCAATCGTCTTAGCAACCACCAACAAATTCCTCTGTTCACCACGAACTGTATATTCCAGCTTTAATCTCTCAAGTGGAGCTAAAAAAGTTCTAGCATCAACAACAAAAACTCATTATTAGAACCAAAGCTAGACATTTGTTCTGGTTCAGGCATTTCATCAAACGACTTGTATGCGTATGAATCTAAAAAATACATACTTTGAAACCATGGCAGCTACAGCACCAGCCCAGAGATGCTTCCGTGTGTTCATGGTCCCGTTTCTCCTCACTCCAGCGAAAACTCTCCGTTTTCCGTTTACCTCGCCGCGAATCTCGACGTTTTCCGTCAAAGCATCCTTACATTCGTCTTTACTCAAGCTCACTGACAGAAACATCAAGTCCTTACCGGAACGGAGACGGGTTTGCTTTCTCCAGTAACCGGTGAAATGCACCGGCTCGGAGTCCACGGAGCAAACGCATTTGGAGGAAATCGAGTCGAAGAAGGAAGAGGAAACGCCTGGTGATTCGAGAAACAAACCACCGGTACTGAAGAAAGCTTCATTGGATAGATCGCTAGAGCTTGAGGAAGAAGAAGGATCGTGAGGATAGATACGGAGTCCTGACATTTGGATAACGAAGAAGCAAAATTGATTCGAATTTTGTAGACATTGAGTGTGGCCTTGGACCGGTCTTGGGGATTTTATTGTTTTTTTTGGTTTGGGTCATAGGGAATGTAATCTATCTATAATATAATAATTTATAAGAAGCCAACACTCTCCAGCGTTTGACACGTGACTTGCCTCTATAATTGACACGTGGCGTTAGGAAATTCCCCCTTTCTTTGTTACGATATTCGGCTTCTCCTCTTCGGTGTAAACAGAACTCCTGACGAAATCTGTCAACATTTACGAACCATCTTCAGACCTCTTAGTACATATTTCCAATCATTTTTATTCTTTCTTATTTCACTCAAGAAAATCTCAAGAACAAACCCAGAAATCAGCATCTCTGTTTTTCGACACATCATCGGAACAACAAATGTCATCAGGATCCGACAGAGGGAGACATGGTGAAGCTCTCCAAACAAGCCGAGCGATACGACGGTATGTAATTAACCATCCATTACGTCGATAAAAAATCTTAACTATCAAAATGACAATGTCTCGGGTTTGATAATGTAATGTTGCAGAGATGGTGGAGACGATGAAAAAAATGACGATTGGTTACAAGAACGTGATTGGATCAAGAGTGGCTCCGTGGAGGCTAATGTCTTGAAAGAAGAGTTCAAAGATAGCAGTTCAAATATCAAAAACATCAAAGGTTATCGTTAAAAGGTAGAAGACGAGTTGCCAATATCTCTCAAGACATTCTCTCCATCATCGACCAGCATCTCATCCCTGTTATTACCTGACGGTGGTTAGTCATTTGTTTGAGCTCGTACCTCTACTCAAACTTAGCTGATCAATTGGTTGAGTTTGTGTCTCTATAGTCTTTGAATAAGAGGGATTGGCTTGTTTCTATGTTGGGCATAATGGTCTTTTCAAAGTTTCTCAAGTCAGTCAGTTATGGTATTCAAATAAAGATTATATGCTTTCGTACAGGTAGAGAGGGTCGTGACCATGTCCAGAGGCATATTCTTCATCGAGCAGTTCGCTTTGGAAGGGTTTTTCAGCAGGTAAGAAAGTACATTGGATTGTTGGTGCATGTTTTCTTGGAGTTTCAGGGCTGTAACGTGTTTGTTTTGTGTCATGCAATTTTGTAAACTTCGTCGATGTGTATTTCTTTTTTTACCATCAGTGTCACTGATCATTTTTTCCTTAACATGTAGGCTTGTGCATTCTGTTACTCTGGTGATGGGCGATGTCTTTCCAGAGTTAAAGGAACATGAAAAGAAGATCACTGAAATAATAGAAGAAGAGGAAGCAGCCTTTTGCGAGACCTTGGAAAAGGTGGGGCTGGATTTAGAAACCTTTTATCTTATTTTTTAAAACCTATGGCCCTTTACACCAACATTCAACACAAGAAGAGTTTTGATTCAATGATTTTAAATTCCCACTGCAGGGAATTAAGAAGTTTGACAAAGCTGCTCAGGAGAATACTCTGACTGGAGAGGCATGCATCTAACGGATTTAATGCTTTTTCGTTTTGATTTTTCACTTTGAATGTTGCAGTCATTGCCATCTCAATATACATCTTTTTTTATTTTTTTTTGCAGTTTGCTTTTGACTTGTGGACTACACATGGTTTCCCATTAGATTTTACGCAGGTATTTAGCTCACTCGTAGTTCTCTATCACAATTATATGTGTTCTTTCTTCTTTATCCAGACAATATCAGCAGTTTTCCTGTATCAAACTTTGTTATAATGTGGTCTCTGGAAAACTGTTGCAGAGCTTGCCATTTGGCGAAGCAAGCCTTTGACTAGGCAATTGCGGAGTTGGTTACTCTTGAGTGAGGGATCATAAAAGGACAACACTTTGATAATGCAGCTCCTGAGAGACAACCTCACCCTCAGGACTTCTGATCTTCCTAAAGAAGGAAGTCTGTTTGGAGGTGGTCTTCAATGCTTAAGGATTTTGTTGATTTAACATAAGCCATCACGGAAGAGAAGTACATAAGCAACTCTATGAGCAGCTATAGGTATGCTCATACTGGCGTTACCTTTATCTTTTGGGTTTATACCAAACCTTTTGATTTTATTTTTTGTTCTAATGGTATTAACAAAAGCAAAATCTCATTCTATAATTATGATTCGGTTGTGTTTGTTGCATAGACGGTGGATTCTTCTCCTGATTCGTTTTTTGTGTCGAATTAACCCTACTGAGGAAGAGTTGGTGTTGCTTTGAAAGAAGGTTGATGATCATATTCTCTATTGTTCGTACCTTATATACTAATTCATTACATGTTCTCCATATCCAGTTAATCAAACTAAATGGAATGAGAATGGATATTAGATTTACCAATATATCCAAGTAGTATTTAGTTATTTCGTTCAAGATATTCATCCTCTTTTACTTTTTGTAGTACTCATGTACATGTGCTCGTGCCGGAAGTTAGTAAAGCTTAATGGTTAAATTATTCTGGTCATAATGAAGGTATCTAAGGCACCTCCTCCAGGCTCCAGCTTGCACTCCCGTTTAAGCTCTTCTTCAAACTTTTCTTTGAGTTTTTCAATTAAATTCATAATTTTGCCTTCAGACTCTTCTCCTGTCTTTTGTTTTCGAGTTTCTTTTTCCTACAAATTTGTATAATAACAATAAAAGTTTCAGCTCAGTGATGTCCTTTCATAAAAATTGCACAAAGTGCCCAGTGATCTGGTGGAATCTTCTACTAGATGTGATATAGTTCACTCCAAATATTTTCAATTTGGTTATTAGTGTGCAATTGTTGATCGATTGAACAAAACTACTTATTATTTAATGGCAGGTTGGTTATTTTTCTCTTTTTAGCTTGATTGTGGAGCATTCTTCACTGATGTCTGTGACTTTTGATTTAGATCCATTAACTTCACAACTATGTTTACGTCAGCTTTTATATTTGTTATGTAATTTCATTTTCAATCTTTGTTTGTTATAATAATCTTGTTTTAGGAAGTGTTGTTCAACACCTCTTCGCTAAACTGCATAATCTAAGCAGCTTGAAAGAAAACATTTTTCTCCGGACAGAGGATCATGAGCTCGATAAGGAGGGGAAGCCGGCTCATGGAGATCAGTCAAGAATCGCGACAACAAAACCGATGAATTGAAGATAAAAATAGTATTTTTTTGTACTTGATTTTGCTTTCTCCGACTGACAATGGGTGTTCTTTGTTCCTACTTATTTTAATACTCTCTCGGTTATTACTTTTTCCATCATTTACATTTCTACATATCATCATTTATCAGTTGTTGACTTTAATAGCATCGAAGGAAATTAGTGGTATGGATATTTTTGTATAATCAATTTCCAAAATCTGTGATTTGGCTATGGTTTTTTTACAATAATGGATAATATCCAACTTCTTATACCTCTGTGGTTTGCTGGTCCAACTTCTTCTCATTTTCCTTGCACTGTTGGATAAGAAGCTCTTTCTCTTCAATAACGCTCTGGAGCTGGTTCACCTCTGTCGACAATGAATCGATACGCGGCTGATTGCTCTCGTTTTCTAGCTGCAAAGTCTCCATTTCTTCAGCCTTTTTCTGTGCATCAGCCTCCAGCTTCTCTTAGTTCTCTTTGCTTTCAATCTCTAATGATGAAAGCTTCAACGATAATTCTTGCTGCGAGATACAAGGACAGGTTAAGCATTACAACCATGCATTCGATAATTTGAGAAAGACAACACAAAGAGAAGGAAGATGTTTATACCGTCCTATTCTCTGAGGCCCTCAGATTTTCCAACAAAGCTTCTATTTCCTCTTTCAGCTTTGAGATCACTGCTTATGTTTAAGCTCTTAAATTAGATAGAGCATGTGATATACGACAGTGTGAATCTTAAGAAGAAGAAATTTACCTTTCTCCTTTATGAGATTTGCAGTTCTACACTGCTCATCTAGATAAGAGTTTTCTTTCTGTTCTTTCTCGAGTTTGAGCTCCTCTAGTTCCTTCTCTCCTGCATTATTGACTTAAATGTAACTAAAATGTCTAACAATATCCAACAGAAGAGCCATAGAAATTTTAGTAAACCATACTGAAGCAACTCAACCGTTTTCAAATTAAAGGTTTTCCCATGAAAGAAATCAACAAAACATGTCTAAAACAAACCAGAAACTTACGGATTTTTATGTTTTCTTCAGCAGCACCCAATCTTAAACATAGGTCTTGCATTTGSTGCTTTAGATTGTCTATTGCTTCCGAACTAGAAGAGAATTTGGACTCAAAAAACTCCTTGTCCTTCTCAGCTGCAGAGGCAATATAGAAAACAGCTAAAGCAACAAACCACAAGTAATTTGAAGAATCCAACGACCAGTGTAGTGTGCATCTATCATTACCTTCTTGAGTGTTGAAATACTCTGCATGAAGATAACAAATTAATTGAGTGAGTACCATAGGCTTCCTTAACTATCAAATATCAAATTATGTCTGTTGGTACCTCTTTTAATTCAGTTTCAGCCTGAATCTGAGCTTGTCTCAGTTGCTCATCGTGCTTTGCTTTGAGATTGAACTCCCTATTTTCATGTTCCTCCCAAATAGTGAGTATCTGCAGAACATACAACTTTATCAGCAAATTTGCTACTTAAACCTGCTCAGTGATAAACTTCCAAACAAGAAAAAACAGAGAAAAGGGACTTTGATTCAGATAGCTCCAGTTTCTGCTACTAAACCTATAATTCTAAGGGGTTGAAATCTCAGAAAATTCATGGTTGGTGATGTTCAGAAACAACAGGTTTAAGAGGAGATTACTATACCAGAGAAGCATGATCCTCCTGAATGGTCAGCAATTCCTGCTTTGATTCGGCTTTACAGTCTGAAAGTTCTTTATCATATTTTGTAGATAACTCTTTGATAACCTTCTCAACCTCAAGTCAGAACCAGAAACACATTGATGAAAAAACAACGGATCCATCCATAGTATTGAAATAGGGAAAATGCAAATC